GAGCAAAAATGGACGAAGAAGCGGCAACGCGCAGATAATAAGATCATGCAGTGATGCTAAAGGAATAAAACTAGGGAAGACTGAGCCGGGAGAAGCCGGTGAGAGAGCTGAACGACAATTAATTAGGTGTCACAGACGAGTGACAGTTGGGCATCTAGCAAGGAGCAGCTGTGCACTGACCGGATGAGGTAAAGAAGGTCGCCAGATGAGAGCTGAATAGGTCGAATGAAGAAAGGATAACAGACAGGAAGAATGCAAGCGTACAGTGATTTGCTTGAGGGAGTCATATCATATAATGCTGAACCACGGAGGTGCATAGGTTCACGATCCATGCTATGGTGCTGGGATACTACTACTTTGGAAAGAGCCTGGGAAAGCTAGTCCAATAGCTGGATGCTTGCAAGTGAAAAAGTCGAAGACGTTCCAACAATTAAGAGATATGAGAACGTCTAGAATAGAGAGGCTAAGGAGCTGATGTGCGCTGACTTGAAGAGTTGGAAGGAGTGCTAGGAGAAGCTGAAAAGTTTATATGAAAGGACATCAAAAAGTCAGAGTGCATGCATACATTATGTCTGGTGAGGACATCGCATCATATGAGTCAGAGGCGCGCAGATACTGAGTCCTGTTATGGTGCTAAAATTTTAGTGCTAAAGTAGACTGGGCTGGAAAATGCCAGTATAAGAGCTGGACTCCTACATGAGCAGGCGTCACAGACATTGCAGCAAGCAACGGATAAATAAACGTATTGAAGGGAGAGGCAATGAAGCAATTGTACGCAGGCTACATAAGTTATGTTTGCTCCACAGAAGAGTGTTGTAGCGCCTTGACGAATGCTACACAAGAAAACCGTAGCCCGGTGAGACAGAAGACGGCGGGATATAAAGGTTTTCTTGAGAGAATAGCTATGTACAATAGCTATGTGAATATAGCTTGAGGACAATGGAAGAAAATGGTGAAGCAATGAGTAACACCACGTCGGAGCGCAACAGCCGGCAACGCGCCGGCAAGATGGCGGACACGTTTCAAAATTGCAGTCCAGTATATATAGGCTTGGGATGGGTGTAAAGTAAAACAAAATGTGCACAAGTCTGAGTGTGATGTTTGATGGGGTAAAATGTCATGGTCACTACAGTGTTAAGAAAGGTTTTATGAAGAGAAGACAGCAAACGGATGAAGCGCAAGCATACGATATGGTTGTTAAATAGTTCAAAGCATAAAAGGCGAAGACGCGGCGACGCGCAGATGATGAAATCATGCTGTGGTGCTAATGTAATAAAAGTAGGGAAGCCTGATCAGGCAGAAGCCGGTGAGAGGGCTGAACTACAAGTAATTAGCTGTCACAGTCGAGTAAGGGAAGGCTGAGCATCAAGCAAGGAGCGAGTAATGAATAAATGAACGTCTAGAAAAGAGAGGCTAAGGAACAGCTTTGGGCAGACCACGTGAGTTATGTTTGATCTGCAGAAGAGAGCTAAGAAAGGTTTCATGATGGAAGGACAATGAACGGGAGGAGCGCAGGCATACAATACAGCTTTTAGATAGTTCAGAGCATGAGGACATAAGCCGCAGCGACGCGCAGATAATCAAACCATGCCGGGGATGTAATGGTATATAACTAAGCAATCCTGAGGCGGGAGAAGGCAGTAAGAAAGCTAAACTGCAATTATGTATGTGTCGTAGAAGAGGTGGCAGTTGTGCATCTAGCAAGGAAACCTGTGCCGGGATAAGCCGGTAAGAGAGCTGGACTGCAGTATACGTAAGTGTCATAGACGTAGTGAGTAATAGATAAATGAAAGTCTAGAAAGGAGTGGTTGCGCGCGGACTACTTGAGTTGTTTGCTGGACAGAAGTGAGCTAAGGGTACATGATGAAGGGACAGCGAACGGGAGAAGCGCTGGCATGCAATATGGTTGCTAAATAGTTCAGAGCCTAGAGGCTAAGATACAGCGACGCGCAGATAGTCAAATTATGCTAGGGTGCTAATATTACAAACGTAGCTGGGGCTGGGGAAAAGCCGGTAAGGGAGCTGAACTACACTTACTTAGGTGTTACAGACAAGTAAGTGACAGCTGGGCATCTCGTAGGACTAGTTAATACTAGTCCGAGACGGTGCGCGAAAGTAAGCGCGGATATCAGAAAGCAATGGGAGTCGGGACACAGCGAATTGTATTCGATGGGCTACAATATGAAACGGACGGATGAAGCGAGGCGAGAGCGTACACGTGAGCGCGGGAACTTACAAGGCAGTTGTGTGACGAGCCGGTTGTAAGATTAAAACAAGAAGGAGTAATGCACAATCGGGTCAACAAGTAAATTGTACATGAAAGATAAGAGTTATCTTTTTGGGCGCTACAGAGCTCCCCCTAGAAGGCTGAACATAGAAAGCCTTCGAAAGCGAAAAGGAATGTTGAAACGCGGTTCGTAAGG